GGACAACAAAAATGCTGAAAAGAAGTCACGTGGACACTCGACAATAATGGGGGCAAACATTGTTGAGGAGGCACCACAAAATAAGAAGAGGAAGAAAGCTTCTGGACCAAAGAATTACCCAAGTAAGAAGAAGTTCAAGGGTAATTGCCACAACTGTGGAAAATCTGGGCATAAGGCAGTGGATTGTCGTGCGCCAAAGAATGATAAGAAGAAAAAGAATCAAGCCAACATGGTTGAAGATGAAATGGAAGACTTGTGTGCCATGTTGTCTGAATGCAACTTGGTAGGAAATCCGAAAGAATGGTGGATAGATTCTGGAGCCACCCGCCTTGTTTGTGCTAACAAGGAGTTATTTTCTTCTTATTCCCCCGCAGGTCCCGACGAGACAATCTTCATGGGAAATTCATCTACGGCCAAAATTGAAGGAGTTGGCAAGATTGCGTTGAAGATGACGTCGGGAAAAATAGTGACTCTAAACCAAGTCCTCCATGTTCCAGAAATTCGCAAGAATCTTGTGTCTACCTCACTTCTTGTCAAGAATGGATTCAAATGTATTTTTGTTTCTAATAGTGTTGTACTAAGTAAGAACGATTTGTATGTAGGAAAAGGTTACCTAAATGAGGGCCTTTTTAAGCTAAATGTAATAGCAGTTCCTATCAATAAAGTGAATGCTTCTTCTTACTTGCTTGAGTCAAACACTTTATGGCATTCGCGTTTAGGTCACGTAAACTTCAAAACATTGCGAAAGATGATAAATCTAGAAGTATTGCCAAAATTTGATTGCATTAATTCCAAATGTCAAATATGTGTGGAATCAAAGTATGCTAAGCATCCTTATAAGTCCGTTGAAAGGAATTCAAGTCCTTTAGACTTAATTCACACAGATATTTGCGACATGAAGTCAACACCATCTCGCGGTGGGAAAAAGTATTTTATTACTTTTATTGACGATAGCACGAGATACTGCTATGTTTATTTACTTAATAGTAAAGATGAGGCAATTGATGCTTTCAAGCAATACAAGAGTGAAGTTGAAACGCAACTAAACAAAAAGATCAAAATGATAAGAAGTGATAGGGGTGGCGAATATGAATCTCCTTTTGAAGAAATATGTTTGGAAAATGGCATTATTCACCAAACAACTGCCCCTTACTCTCCACAATCTAATGGAATTGCGGAGAGGAAGAATCGAACGTTGAAGGAGATGATGAATGCATTGCTAATAAGTTCTGGCTTACCACAGAACTTGTGGGGGGAAGCTATACTTACAGCTAACCGAATAATCAACCGTGTACCTCATAGTAAAACACAATCCATTCCTTATGAGAAGTGGAAAGGAAGGAAGCCTAGCTTGAAATACTTCAAAGTGTGGGGGTGTTTAGCTAAGGTACAAGTTCCTAAACCTAAAAGGGTTAAGATAGGTCCAAAAACGGTTGATTGTGTGTTTATTGGATATGTAACCAATAGCAAGGCATATCGTTTTCTGGTTCATAAATCAGAAAATCCTGAGATTCACATTAATACGATAATAGAATCAGATAATGCTGAATTCTTTGAAACTATTTTTCCATATAAAAAGGAAAGTGAAGTGACCTGCCAAAAGTCAAAACGACTTCGGGAGGAAATAATAGATGATATGCCTAATGAAGAAAATCCGAGAAGAAGTAAACGTCAAAGGACATCTACTTCATTCGGTCCAGATTTTCTGACTTTTCTGTTAGAAAATGAGCCTCGTACCTTCAAGGAAGCAATGTCTTCCTCAGAGGCACAATATTGGAAAGAAGCTGTCAATAGTGAAATAGAATCCATATTGAGCAACCATACTTGGGAATTGGTTGATCTTCCTCCAGGTAACAAAACGTTGGGTTCTAAATGGATTTTCAAGAAGAAAATGAAAGACGATGGTACTATTGACAAATACAAGGCAAGACTTGTTGTCAAAGGATTTAGACAGCGAGAAGGTCTTGACTATTTTGACACATACTCGCCGGTAACAAGAATTACATCCATTCGGATGCTAATAGCGTTAGCCGCCTTGTATGGTCTTCAAATCCATCAAATGGATGTAAAAACAGCCTTCTTAAATGGTGATCTAGAGGAAGAAATTTACATGAACCAACCTGAAGGGTTTGTGGTTCCGGGAAAAGAAAAGAAGGTGTGTCGACTTGTTAAGTCTCTTTATGGACTAAAACAAGCACCCAAGCAATGGCATGCGAAATTTGACCAAACAATGTTGTCAAATGGCTTTAAGATTAATGAATGTGATAAATGTGTTTACATTAAGAACGTTCCAAATCATATAGTCATTGTTTGCTTATATGTTGATGATATGCTAATAATGAGCAAAGACATTGCCGACATTCAAGCTACTAAGCGCATGCTTGCTAGTAAGTTTGATATGAAAGACTTAGGAGTTGCCGATGTAATTCTAGGAATTAAAATCCAGAGGACTCCTCAAGGTCTAGCTTTGTCTCAATCACATTACGTGAAAATGGTACTTGAAAAATTCAAACACTTGGAATTTAGAAGTGCAAGAACTCCAATTGACTTAAATCATCATCTCATAAAGAATAAAGGTGAAAGTACGTCTCAATTGGAGTATGCTCGTGTGTTGGGAAGCTTAATGTACATCATGAACTGTACACGACCTGATATAGCTTGTGCGATAAGTAAACTTAGTCGATTCACAAGTAATCCCAACAAACATCACTGGGTAGCAATGAAACGAGTTCTGGGATATTTGGAATATACCCAAGACTACGCTTTGCACTACAATAAATATCCTGCGGTTATCGAAGGATATAGTGATGCAAATTGGATAACCGGCTCATCAGAAACAAAGTCCACAAGTGGATATGTGTTTACTGTTGGTGGAGGAGCAGTATCTTGGAAGTCTTCCAAACAAACGTGTATCGCTCGCTCTACAATGGAATCAGAGTTTATAGCGTTGGATAAAGCCGATGAAGAAGCTGAATAGCTTCGGAATTTTTTAGAAGGCATTCCGTTCTGGCCAAAACCTTTGGCTCCTATTTGCATACATTGCGATAGTGAGGCTGCAATAGGACGGGCAGGGAGCGTTATGTATAACGGAAAGTCTCGTCATATACGACGAAGACATAACACCGTTAGACAACTACTTTCTAGTGGAATTATCACTATTGATTATGTAAGATCAAAGGATAATGTGGCGGATCCGCTTACAAAAGGCTTAACTAGAGAGGGAGTTGAGAAATCATCTAAGGGAATGGGACTATGGCCGAGGACAAGTCGACATGGCGGTAACTCTACCTAGAATTTTGGATGTTCCGAGATCTAGGTTCAAGGAGCTCAAACAAAGTTGTGATTGACCGGTTCAACATTGTCAAAGTAAAATCTTTGGTCCCTTCTCGTGATGAAGACAATGTTCAGTAACAAGGATAGAACTTTACACGTTCTTTAATGATTACCTAAGTTTGATGAGGTATTTATCAAATAGTGTCAATCTAAAGGATTACACGTTTAGAAATCACCTATGTAAGTGTGAAGTGGAAGCCGCTTCAATGAGAATTTTGTAAGGCCAATTCTCTACGCACTTATGAAACCAGGCGGTGTTCATGGCTAAAACGAACACAACAATGAGAACCAAAAGACGGTTAAGGGTTGGTTGTGTGACATATGGTTGTCTAGGTATACACTAAAGTTCGACGGTTCAAAGATATCAAATCTACCGATTGACCGAGTATATCCGGCATATGTTCACTACGGAAAGTTCAAAGGGAAACCTACTTATCGAGATGCAATTAATCCTTACTTGCAAAATCACATAGCTTTCATCTATGATCTTTCTTGATACAGCCATTCCCATTCATGTGGAGGATTGTTGGACTTTAAGCTATTGGGCTTTAAAGTAGAAGAAGTGTGAATTGGAAATGGAGGAAAATAAAATGGAGGAAAATTGAAAATTTGAAGAAGTGAACTTTTGTCTTGCACTTTGTCCCTCATTGGTGAGGGACAACCACATTTGTGTGCTTATATATAGAATCATTTCTTAAAGCTCTTAAAAGGAGTTGAAGAGAATGAACCCTCACGCCGTCGTCGTCGCTCGCTCGGCTCGGCTTCGGCTTCGGCTTCGGCTTCGGATTCGGATTTGGATTTCTGGCCGCGGTTCTGCCGCGACCGCGGTAGAACCGCGGCAGGCAGGTTCAGAAAGCCTCTCTGATTGCGGTTCTGCCGCGACCGCGGTAGAACCGCGGCAGGCAGCGTATTCTTCTGAAAAGGCACCTTTTCCAGACACCTCTTCTGATAATTGCCTATAAATTCTGAGGCAAAGCTCCATTTTCTACACACAAAAAACACTCCACAACTTCTTTCTTTTTGAATATGCTGCATCCTAATTCGCAGTCTCTCTCTCTCTCAAATTCGTATGTGTGATTTTGCTCCGTTCTTTAAGTTCGTTGGTATCCTGCAGTTTGTATTGTCACTGTTGCAGGAAGGTTTATTCCGTTTTATCCTGGGAGGATTTAATCCATTACCTTGGCAACGTGTGAGGGGGTTAAAATTCCTTAAGGACACACAAGCAAATTGTGGACTCGGAATATTTCTTAAACTCTTCTGTTTTTTCCAGTTTCTTTTATTTTTCTAATAGTTTTTTTCTGATTTTGTGTTTTAACACAGTAGCGCTCACAATGACTAGAGATGGTATCTTATTTGATTTGGGATTTAAACCAAACTTAACATTTAAGTGCCTACAGGCCCTACACTAACAGCTTTACACAAAAACATGAACATTTCGATGAGCTATCAGATCATTGCTTGTAGTGCTTTCCTCTGGTCTGCTTCTACTTTCGCTGTTGCCATCAGCAGGTCTGTTTCTCTAGTTGCTGTCAGTATTTGCTATTGCTTCATTAACCTTTTGGAAAGATTCTTAGCCTTTATAAGTAAGTTATGAGATGAATGAAGCTTACATAAACCAAGAAGAAATAAACTAACTACAAGAAAAAAGAAGCAAATTTTTTCAAGCATAACTTCAAAAATAAATCAATTAAAGAGATTTGTCAATGTATACAAAAAACGACACAGTATGCATTAATGCATGATGTTTCCTGGTCCGGACTGCCCTTTATACAAAAAACAACACGCTCCCTGAAAGGGACTATCAGTTCAAGTACGAACAGAATTGAACTAGAATATGGGGAATTGCATAAATGGACTATAATACTTTGGGAAGCTTTTTATTTTTGCAGCCCATTGTTTTTGGACAGAAACTAACGTGCTAATTTTGGGATAGTTCAGAGATTGGTGTTTTTCTGCTCAATTTTCCCTTTTTTGCTGAAGACTTCAAATTGTCTAGAGTCCTGAGCTTGGAGAAGCAAACTGAAGAAGCTCTTCATTACTTTCAAATACAGACATCTCTCCTTCTTCCAAGTTTACGACTACTTCAACTCCATCCCCATTTTGGTTATCCAGAAGGAGAAACATATTGACTGGAAAAGTAGCAACATCCACTCTTGTTGGCCTCCCCCATCCAAAATTTATGTCATGGAACGGGAATTTCCTTAAACTAGAAAACCTATATATAGAAAAATCATTGCTTGAGGTTCCCTCGTTTATCTGTGTAGCTAGTTCAGATACCCTTGAAGATAGTACCTCTTCTGGTTTAATATCTTTGAGCATATCACGGACCTTCTCTTTTCTTTCTCTAAGCTCACCAATTAGTCTTTGCCATTTCAGATCTTCCTCGTTCGCTGCTGATGCAACGTAAGGAAGAATGGCATTTCCTACCAAGCCTGCTGGAACTAGTGCATCATTATTTGTTCCTCGTAGATTTACTGCTTGGATGAATAAGGATGGCTTAGAAGTTGGCGTATTGGCGCATTTACATAGGAATGCAGTGACAGCTTCCACAGTTGTAGGAGGAATTAGGCTTCTGGCCTTGAGAGCTTTTAACTTGGAGGCTGAGAAATGGTACCTTTTCGATGCATTTTGTTTTAGACTAGGATCAGCCACTTGTGGTGGTGCAGAATAGTTGGCCGGTTGAAAGACTGATGCTCCATTAAAAAGGGGAGATGGTTTTGCTTCTGAATCACGTGCGACCAGGGCCCAGTCAGTTAGGAAATTAGTCATACTGTAACCATCAGCAACCTTGTGGGAAATACATGTACTGAGTATTATGCCACCGCATTCAAAATGATTAAGTTGAGCTACGATTAAACTGCCCGTAGATGGGTTCCAAGGATCTTTAGGAAATATTAACTTATCGATATCAGTACGAGGGTGATTGAAAATACTTGACATTGGACAATCAATTCGGACTTGAGAGAGATCGACTCCCATGTCATTACATTCGACAAAGGAATTGTCACGTAAACGTCCAGCAAATGGATAATATGCGGTTAAAACTTTGGAAAGCGACTTCTCAAGAATTTGGGAGACCTTTGTCAGTTCAAGAGAGCTTGCAGTGTCTTGTTTTGGGTAGAAGAAAGAAAACGGCATATAGGTGTGAGTCCCCATTTGGTCCATAAGAGAGAGCTTGTGAATTCTATGTGAAAATGGGGTTGGAGAAGAGGGCTTAATTATCTTTCGAGAAAGTGAAACAAGCCTTGAAATAGCCATCTTAGTTGAATTACAAATGGTCTCTAACTGCAGGCCACTTCTTTGCTGTTTAGCCTCTTCTAACTCATGTATATATATAGCCAGGAAACAGAAGAATCCTACTTCACTATCTGTTTGGTTATGTTATAAACAACAAACAAACAACCCAGTGTAGTAGTATGTACGCAGACCTTACCCCTACCTTACAAAGATAGAGATGTTTCCAATAGATCCTCGGCTCAAGCAACAGAGGCCGTTTGGTTATGTTATAAACATAATTAATGATGTTGCCAAAGCTATTGCTATCCAGAAATTTGAAAGAGTATTGACATGGAATTGGAAAAAGAGAAAAGTATTTGGATACTGGTGAGGAATTTTCCCACTTATTATGCATAATTTTGTGACTATTCTCCAACTTTACTCTAGTAGCTACGGTCGGATCCACCTTGCGACCTACGGGTATTTGAATGTGAACCCAGTTACTATTGAAAATTTACTCGAGATTGTTGCAGGAATCCATAAATATTAAATCCTGGATCCGCCTCTGAACCTTTTAACTCATATCATAAAGCACATATACATAATCTCTTCTTCCTGCCATGCCTACCTATAGGATTGTTTGGTTCACTAACTAACTAGCTATGCAACGATAATAAAGTAGAGAGAGTTAATTGCTTATATAGACATTCAACTATTTAAAATAGTGTAATAAGTTCATTTTTCTTTATTTTATAACAGAAAAGTCACTCAATTATTGCAAATGGTGTCCGTGTAACAAAGTGATTTTTTTTTAATTTTCTAACAGCTAAGTCACTTTATGATTGCTATATCGCACCAAATATACTCTTAGCCAGTAACAATTATATTTTCGGTAACACAATATTTGAAGCTAAAAACTAAAATAAAAATAAACTCAAAGAACTTTTTTGAAACATTTCGAGCTACCCTATGTGTTTGAAAAAGTAGGGTACAGTGAGAGAGAGATTCAAACGGCTCAATTAAATACATATGGTATGGGTTTGGTAAATGAAGTCAAAATAAAATCACTAGCCTTTAATTTTCATCCATCTTTTGGCTTCCTATTGAAGTTTAAGTGGGCGTTTGGACATAATAATAGTAAAATTTTAAAAGAAATTAAAAAAAATCAAGTAAAAATGGTAATTGATAATTAGAGTTGTATTTGGACATGAATATAATTCTGTGTTTTTTTTTTTTGAAATTTTGTGAGTGATCTGAGTGAAAATTTTGAAAAACAGCTTTTTGGAGTTTTTAAAATTTTCGAAAAATTTCAAAATTCATCTTCAAGTGAAAATTGAAAATTTTATGGCCAGACACTGATTTCGAAAAAAGTGAAATTTTTTTGAAAAAGAATGAAATTTTTTTTACGTCCAAACAGGTAGTCAGGTTTACGAAATAAAAAGAATTTCTTAAACTACTATTTCCCTAATTACTACCAAATTATGAGTAAAACCATACAAAAGAAAATATAAATGCAAATTAATAAATAAGCAGGATTGGAGTTGTTGTTTAATTACAACTTCAGCATTTGCAAATTCTGAACTAAACTATTCATAAATATTATTCAGCCATGACTAATACAAATACCGAATTTCATTATTTGAACTTCAAGTAAAATATTGAATTATTAGTTTGTATTCAAAAGATACAATAACCACCTGCCAAATCAATAAATCATGGAGTCTCTCCACCTGACAAGAACTATTACCTCATTCTGAACCGAATAACGATATTTTGTCTTTATTATAACCTACATAAATCCGATCACACTGATCTCACGTCCAATAACCTCGTCTCACCTAGTACAAGCTGCTCGGGCAATAACCCACCTCTAATACTGTCTAAAATTGCATACAGCGTCATCAAAGAGCCAACAAGCTACAATTCAAATATGACTCATAAGGAAGAATAAACTCAGAAAGGGAACTACCCAGCCCGCGTAACGAATAAAACGGCCAAACAAATGCTATGAACCTATCTCAGAGATGAGAAACAAGGACCACAAAATAATTATAAGGAACCATACTCAACATCTCACTGTTGCGGCGTGCAACCCGATCCACACATGACACCGTTGTGTTGTGCAACCCGATCCAAGCATGATACTATTGCGGCGCGCAATCCAATCCAAATATGACACTATTGTGGCGCGCAACCCAATCTAAATATGACACTGTTGTAGCGTGCAACCCGGCCCAAATAACATACCCGTGGCGGTGTGCCGCCCGATCCACACATACCAACAAATAAGGAAATACCCATCAAGCCGTAATGCTTATACTTGCAAATGCCCAAATATTGACCACCAGCACGCCAAGTGCATAATACAACCCTGGAGAGACGAGTAGCGCCATACGCTACAAAAACCCAAGCACGACTAAGGTGCAATAAATGACCTATATCTCAAGAGCCATCTTGCTCATATAACACCACAAGCTACATGGGATCACAGCACATATGCGAATAATCAAGTCGTCTCACAACCCACATGGCACAATAGAGTATTACATGGAATAGCAGACGACATGAATAACATCCAATGCCCGAAGAATCCCGTAAGAAATGCTACGCTGAATGAACACATTCGACCTGATGTGGAGCATACATTCACATTAGACCCACCAACGGACCTAAAGCTGATTTCGATCATCCCATACTGGGTCAACAACCTTTCAAGGATCCACAATTGCCTTATTCATGACATGCACGAGCAGCCGTCCAACCCAGAACAAACTCCCACAGTCCGCAACCAAATGAATAGAGCGCCTTTTCAGGCATAAACTCTCATATTAGCAATAGTACCAGAATCTCCATGCTTGGTCTCAATCCTTAATAATCAAGTGACTAACATGTCATACTTATACAATTTTCCCGTGGAATACGCTCCCACGACCCTTTCCGCACTAGGTAGCAAAGTCTGCACCTCCATACCGCCCACCGTACTAATTCTGTAAAGCAAATCAAAAATCTGCAAATACACAATGCCTCTTCCACAGAACACTATTCTCAGGCGGCACTAAGAAAATGCCAGCTTACTCTGAACATCTGAATTCTTCCCTACTCATCCGAGCTCGTGACATTCTTATCAACACCGAGCCGCAACCTTGATCCTCAACTTCCAATTCCCAGTCCGCTCACTGCATCTATCATGTCGCTACACGAGAGTACAAGAATTCATCATAACCCCTGAACTACTAGTAGAATAAACACTTCATTGGCTAGAAACCTTTCACTTAACTCATTTCAGAAGAACCGTTGCAACACGCAATTAAATTCCCATAACCGCAGAAACACAAACCTCAAGTCATAGTCTAAACCACCATAACTCTTCCGGGATCCATTTACACATAAAAGGCCATTTGAATCAAATATCTCCCAAAATCAATCAAATTATGGTGGTTGTCAAGCCCGCACGTACAACCACAAACCACCTGTATAACTTAACACGCCGAAGGAACTGATCATTGCCACAATCATATTGATTCATACCATTACTAACTGAACCCACTTCTTCCACTTTACTCTTGAATGCCTTAGAAATAATAATAGCTCCATTCCAAAACTCAATCAACACTCATCCCGAGTGACCCAAATCAAGAGGTCACATTGTCTCAATACCCATGAACCATCTCATACCCTCCTCATGCGCACAATAGCATCTCCAACTGGTACACCCATTCTGAAAGACCTTACGCAAATCCGAAGTTGTTTCTCCCATTTCTCCAATACTGCCCCGCAGACCCGATGATAGCATAGAAAATTCTTCAAGTATTCTTCACACTCTGCTGCGAAATCCCGGTCTTCAGCCTCACAACGAACCCAAAACCCTTAGACACCGCACTTACATTCTTGAACCCATTAGAACCACCGTTGAGAGTCACCCACCATGACTTGGTCATGAATATAACAAAAGTCCAATGATCTGTTAGCATATGAACACCCCCAAAGAAGCAACCAGATGAATTCTTTCCTTGTACATCACATCCACAAGGAGCATAAACTCCGAGTTTCCCCAAAACCTGCACATGAATCGGTAAGGCAAAATATAGCACACATTAATCAAGTTCTTTGCTCGAATTGCCCCTGATATTTTCTTTTCTTAGTCGTAAATAATACACCAATGCACCGATAACCAGAAACCGCACACAAGCAGACAACCGCGCGATCCAATCGTAGAGGGTGGGCTCCCCCACTTAGCTTTAAGCTACAATAACATAAATGTAGAACCCACAATGATTCCTCTTTCTCAATTAGCGTAATCTCGCACCGTTAACCTGCCAAATTTCTCGTAATTGTTAAACTTTTCATGAACATTCCGAATTGTTAGCCACCATCGCACATTCGACCTCCTGCTGGGTAGTAAGTAGAACTCTTCGTAGAAACTTTATCAAAATCACGCAACTGCTAACCTGCTGTCACACCTCCTTTTTTACCCACCCGAGGGGGGGTATGGGAATTTTTCCAATTAAAGTGACATTATTCGAAATGGGATTATTTTTATTTCATTTATCAGAGTCACCACTTGGAATAGTTTATTTGGTGTCCCAAGTCACCGGTTTATTTTAAAATCCCAATTCGAGGAAATTTTCGACTTTATTTAAAAGTCTGCGAAACCAGAAATTCTAGATAAGGAATTCTGTTAATCCGGGAGAAGGTGTTAGGCATTCCCGGGTTCCGTGGTTCTAGCACGGTCGCTTAAACTGTTAATAATTGGCCTATTATCTGATTTACTACATGTTTTAACCTATTGTGCATTTTTAATTTTTATAACCGCTTTTAATTATATTTTTTTGGTATTAATCTGGAATAAGTTACGATTGTCATACACTTGTTTGTTTGATACACATTGCGAATCGTGTCACCGGAACCGTACCCATGATCTACAACATGTTTAATTTATTAAAAATTATTAGAAGTTGTAGCCGGGTCACATAAATGTACCCGAGCGGACAACTCGAGACGAGGGGGCTACGTACCGGGAACCAAAAGGCCATCCGGCTTTGTAACTTGTCCGAGCCTCTTTCTAATTCAAGGTATGACACTAACAGAAGAGGAGTCACGCCAGCGTGCACATCCCCGAAGATGAGAAGAGAAGGGTTTCGTAACAGTTCATATACGGTTCAAATAATATCAAAGCGGTAAAAAGCGGCATTTAGCACATTAGGCCCAAACATGTAATAAAAATCAGATAATAAATAAAAGTCAGATATAACAGTTATTCTAAGCTCGAATTCTTGAACCCTGAACCGGAGATTCTGGGTTCTGATCCCCAGCAGAGTCGCCAGAGCTGTCACACCTCCTTTTTTACCC